AGGAGGGACCACCTCGATGGCCTCCTTCCTCAAAAGAGTGACTACTTCTTGTTCCATGACCAGAGCCTGCTCGGGGCCCACCAGCGTTGGCATAATCCCGTTGAAACGAAGCAGAGGAGAACAAAACTGGATTCTGTAGCCCCTCTCTACAGTGTGCAGGACCCACTGAGACACATTTGGCAGTAGTTTCCACGCTGCCAAAAAGTCTACTAAGGGAATCAGTCTCTCGAGACTGATCTCTGGTGTAATGCGAGCAGGCAGCTCAGTGCCCTGTAACGGCGAACCGGCAGGGAACAACCGAACCTGCTGCTCTAGAGACTTCCGCGGAGGTGGCGAGTCTCTTAGCACCGCTACTTTGCCGGGCGGTGAATGAGAGTGATGCTCGCGGGAGACCGCTGCGCCCTGTAACTCCGGCCGGGTTAGCAGACCGATCTCCTGAGGGCACTGAGGCGAGACGGACACCGTGTATTGCGGTGTAACCCGCTGCACCCCAGAGGGGACTGCCCTCATTAGTCCTGGGCCAGTAGCGACTTTTTGGACTTTTTGGCAGAGCACCTCTTAGTCTTAAGTACGGTCCGCAGATCCGGCTTAGACTTCGAGGCCCCAGACCTAGAGCGTCGCCTCGCCCCACTGTCTCGACACGGGGTAGTATGTTAACATACACGGGGAGTATGTTAGGCCACGCTCTGTCTCTGTGCGTCCCGGTATGAGGAGCCGGTACCCGGAGGGGGCTGCTCTCGCCCAGCAGCCCCTAGAGCTAGAGAGCGGCGAGGGAGAAACCGCTGGAATGCCGCCGCCTGTTTACGGGCCTCCTGGTACCTGTCAACAACCGAATTGACGATGTCGCCAAACAGGCCAGAAGGCGCAAGCGGGGCGTCCATTAGGCAGACCTTGTCTCTCTCTTTCATATCTGACAAGGTCAGCCATAAATCCTCTCCGCTGCCACCATAGCTGCCATAGACCTGCCAATGGCACGGGCGGTCTCTTTAGTGGCGCGGAGAGACAAATCAGCGGTTCTCCTCAGCTCGGTAATATCCTCGGATTTTACCTGCTCACCCTCATCTAGCTCTTTCAGCAGGTCGGCTTGGTACGCCTGTAACACCGCCTAACCCGCTGCCGAGTACCCTTTGCCCACCAGCGCTGATGTTGTGCGTAGCTGCTTGGAGGGCAATGCCGGAGCCCGCAAGCATCTGTTCTACCCGGGTCATCGTCTTATCTGTAATACTGGAGACAGCTATCAGTTAGCATTCCCGTTCACCTCAATCCAATTCATGTTAGAAGGATAGAGTTAGAATACAGATTGTCCATGTTTAAAGGCTTTGTATGTGTCTTTCAATATAGGAGACTCTAGAAAAGACGGGTTACTTGCTGAAAATGGGCAGTCAGGTGAAAGCTTGGAAGAGGCGCTGGTTCATTCTGAGGAACGGGGAGATCTTGTACTATAAGTCACCGGTGAGTAGACTTTTCCACAACTCTGTGGTGGTATTTGAGAGACGGTGTGAGGGAAGGAAGTTTAGAGATACAGCACCGATGATGTATGCCTTTGTTCTGCTCTCAGAGTGACATGATCCGGAAACCTCAGGGACAAATGGAGCTGAACTCTTCGTGTCATATAGCCCGCGGAGAGGGAGCTCAGACATTCCAGGTGAGAGACACACGCTGATACACCTAAACAGCTTTTAACAAATCTGTCAGCCTCAGGCTTTCAGAAACAGCCTGATATGAGGATCACATGAGTTTCGCTTGCGTTTTGAGGGGATTTTCAGCTCTTAAGTGCTGTCATTATTGGGTTTTCAAAGGCGTAATAATAATAATAATGGGGAATTATGTATAATTTTATCAATCTTGAATCAGTGTAATCACAGTTCGGGAGGAATTGAATATCATAATCATAAAATGTCTTGCAGAATTTATTGTAGGTCATCTGGATGTGTTTTACTGTTACCACATGACATTCCGTCATGGCCGAACTGATTTATAATCTTCACATATAATGTGAAATTTTCTGTTCACTTAATAGTCAAATATTTAGATTGCATAGTTATGGACAGGCAGACAGACAGACCTATTCGTTTTTTGTATTTTATTTAATATCATAATCATAAAAAGTGTTGTTGAATTTATTATGGGCCATCTGTTTTACTGTTGTTAATCGACTTGGAATATATTCTACTGGGCATTCCATTATGGTAGAAATGATTTTGTGTTTTTTGGTCTATTAAGTTTTAAGAGTATATCAGTTATGAGCCTCTTCATTTATATATGTATGTATGTATGTATGTATTTATTTGTTTGTTTTTGTTTTTATTTAGACAAAAAAATCTCAAAATGTAAATGTTAATATCTGCAATTTATCGGAATCAGACAGAATTTTAATATCACTGCCATCCTAGTCATAGTATGATTAACCAGTTTTGTTGGCTAAATCTCTGTCCATGTTTTTCCTCATTTGTGTGTTGTTTCTAGTTAATTACAGAGAAGAAGACCTTTTACTTGGCTGCAGACTCCCCAAATATCCTGGAGGACTGGATCAAAGTTCTCCAGAATGTTCTCAAGGTCCAGGCCAGTGGACCAATTTCCATGGATAAAGAAGCTAAGGCCACGGTGCGAGGCTGGCTAACTAAAGTAAGAGCTCACAGGAAAGATCACTTAGCCCAATGAATATTCAATTTGGTTTTTAGTTTTACTCTTAAATAGGTATTAGCTTCTGATGATAGCCACAAACTAACACTAAAAATTCTAATAATTTATCTAGTCAAATCTACAGTATTTGAACTACATCTAATCTAGCATGTCACTAAATCTATTTTCATATCATAACAGTAAGAGTTTTGACATGTATAAAACAGTGAAGTGATGAATATATTGAGCCTGCTTACACCTGGTATTAAGATCTTGTTTTGCTTTTTCTTTCTCTCTCCATATTTCTGATGATGACTTTCATTTTACTTTACAGGTGAAACATGGTCATTCAAAGCTTGTGTGGTGTGCTTTGATTGGGAAAGTCTTCTACTACTACCGGAACCAGGATGACAAGGTGGATATCTTCAGCTTCCTTCAATTCAGAGTGCTTTTAGTAGCTCTGCAAAATTTCCATTAAAAAGGGGTCATATGATGCAATTTAAATTTTTTCTTTCTCTTTGAAGTGTTACAAGCTCTTGGTGCATAAAGAAGATCTGTAAAGTTGCAAAGACTAAAGTCTCAAATCCAAAGAGATATTCTTTATAAAAGTTAAGAGTCAACCACGCCTACCTAAAACGGTTCGTTCTAACAC